TTATTGCATCTTACTTGGATCCACAATCAACACCGTGGGTACCACCAGTCAGGAGATCAGGGGATGTATTGCCCTGGGAAAGTCTGCATTTAGGGACCTCTCCAAATTACTGAGGAGCAGTGATATCCATTTGAGGACTAAGGTGCATCCAATTCAGGCCATGGTATTTTCAGTCATTTGCTATGCATTCGAGATCTGGGCAATAAATTAGGATAGCAAAAGAAGAATAGATTCCTTAGAACTCTGGTGGTGGAGGAGAGTACTGAATATCCCATGGACTGCCAAAATAACAAATATGACTTTGGAGAAAGTACAGCAGAATGCTCATTGGAGGCAAAGATGACAAAGCTTCATCTCACATACTTTGGCACATTGTTAGAAGCTATTCCTTGGAGAGGGACATCATGCTTAGAAATGAGGGGATCAGCAAAAGTGAGGAAGTCCCTCAACCAGATGGATTGACTGTGACTGCTGCAATGGGCTTGAATGTGGCAGAAAAGATGAAGATAGCACAGGATAGGATAGGATTCAGATCTGTTATTCATAAAGTCACTATGAGTCATGCTTGACTCAAGAGCACCTAACAAAAACATAAAAAACATTTTTTTTTTTACCGAACAGCCTTTTATTTACAAAGCACCACCCTCACATGGCCAGCTGGTGCTTCTGAGGGGGAAGGGGTAGGTATCCCCACAAACAAGGGACTACTGATGAGTGCTGTGAATCTTATTTTAGCCAATCTCCTTGGTGAGCCACAAAAACCTCACATTTGCATAATCCTGTCAAGTCAGTCACTTGGTGGGTGTTGCATAAACAAGACTAGAAAAGGCATATTATGGAATCTACTGCACTGTACAAGTTATAGAATAGATGAGAACCAGTTAACTTTACAGGGTCTTATGAGCAGGAAGTATTTAACAGTTTTGACATATCTAGGGCCATTTCTTCATTCATTGGCTACTGGAAGGCTCTTTATTTTTCTCATTGCCAGTTGGAGCTGTCTTGTAGCTGATCCTCCAGAGGATTTTCAAAGGGGGTAAGTTGCATGACAGGAGATTGCACATCTTTCTCCCAAGGAGCAATTGGTGGAGTTGAAGCACCTGCATTTGTTTTGACAGCATGATTCCCTACTCACAAAGTCACCAGAGATCTATAAAAAAGTGTAAGCATCTAAATTAATTACTGTTAAATCCTAATCAACGGGGAGGATAGAATTCTCCAAAAGAGGGAGGAATTGGGCAGCCAAAAGCAATAAATTCCAACAGTCCCTCCTTTCTAAATGCTTTTTGTTTGGGTTCTGAGACACTACATTTCCTCCTTCTTGTTCTTCATTCTTGTCTGTCTGCTTGTTGTTGTATACCGTAGAGTTGGAACACTACATTACATGGTTTAAAATCAAGAATGGAGTGCATCAGTGTTATATCCTTTCTTCATATATTCAGTCTGTATCCTGAGCAAATGATTCGAGAAGCTGGCTCTGTGAGGAGGAATGTGACATCAGAATAGGAGGAAGCCTCATCAATTACCATCGGTATGCCGATGACATAATCCGGCTTGCTGAAAGTGAGGAGGACTTGAAACACTTGCTGTAGAAGATCAAAAAACACAGCCTTCAATATGGATTGCATCTCAACATCAAGACAACAAAAATTCTTACCACTGGACCTTAGTCCTCAAACTGACATCATCACTTCTCAGTAATTTAGAGAGGTCTCCAACTGCACACTTTCCCAGTGGAGTACATCTCCTGATCTCCTGACTGCTGATGCCCAGGGTGTTGTTTACGGATCCAAGTAGGATGAAATAGTTCATAATCATTTCTCCATTTATCATGATGTTGCCTATCTTCCCTTTGTTTTGGGTTCTTGATGTTTTAATACCACTTCCAGTGTCTATTCTGACATTTATTTTGGTCTTTTCTTTCTTCTCTGTCCTGTGTGACCTTGATTTTTTCTGTATGTTGAAAAAAATCATTCCATAGAAGAATGTGGCAGGAGGATTAGAGGAAGATTCATCAACAACTTGTTACTATGCAGGACATGTACTTAATTCTTTTTTTTTTTAATTTAGGTTATTTATTTTTCATTTCAATGAACATCTACAGAGATTTAGGGATTCCATTCATTCATTGTTGCACCCTTCTCCCCGCAGAA